AAAATTGAATCAATAATTAATAAACTTCCAAAACAGAAACCCCCTAGGCCCAGATAGATTCACTGGCAAATTATATCAAACACTGAAAGAAGCAACTGTACTTTATAATTTCTTTATAATTTCTTTCAGAAGACAGAAGTAGAGGGAATACTTCCTAACTCCCTAGCTAATCAAAGACCAGGGAGAACCATTGTGGCCTTTACCTGGCAACTGGTTAGAAATGTGGTATCTGTGCTTGCTATTTTTTTTTTTTTTTTTTTTTTGACACGGAGTCTCATTCTGTAGCCCAGGATGGAGTGCAGTGGCATGATCTCCACTTACCACAACCTCCGCCTTCTGGATCCTTGTTCAAGCAATTCTCCTGCCTCAGCCTCCCGAGTAGCTGGAATTACAGGCACACACCACCACACCTGGCTAATTTTTGTACTTTTAGTAGAGACAGAGTTTCACCATGTTGGCCAGGCTGGTCTTAAACCCCTGACCTCATGATCCACCTGCCTCAGCCTCCCAAAGTGCTGGGATTACAGGCACGAGCCAACGTGCCCAGCCTCTGTGCTTGCTTTGAGAGCACATATACTAAAATTAGAATAATACAGAGAAGATTAGCATGGCCCCCTACACAAAGATAACCCAAATTTGTGAAGTGTTCCATATTTAATAAAAATACAGTTTAAAAAAATGCAGAATTTTGTGCCTCAGCCTAGACCTACACTCAAAACCTGCAAGTTCATCAAGATCCACAGGTGATTCATATGTACTTTCAGTGTTAAGAAGCACTGGTCCTTAAACTATCTGCATACTGGAGTCTCCTGGAAGAGATTCTGATTTAATTGCTATGAGTGTGGCCCGGGATTTTTAAAAGCTCCCCAGGCAATTTAAAATTCAGCAAAATCTAAAGAGAGGTCTTAGAAACAAGATCACAGAATGAATACAGGTGAAGTATCATTCTGCTTACCTCAAAGGGCCTTATCAATGGCAGTATTCATGGGCTGCCATCTAACCCGCCACTAATGGCTAGAGTCCCATAATGCCCCCCTCAACTTTCCACCAAGAAATTTGAGAGGCTAGGCGTTACGTGGTGGTTCACAACTGTAATCCCATCACCTTGGGAGGCCGAGGCAGGGGGATCGCTTGAGGCCAGGAGCTCAAGATCAGCCAGTGCAACAAAGCAGGAACCCATCTCTACAATTATATATGTATATATTTTTAATTAGCTGGACACGTAGTATTGTAGGACTTTCTCCTTAGGGTCCTTGTCATGTGACCAGAAAAGATTAAGCTTGCAGACATATCGAAGGGTGAGAAAAATGGAATTTATTGGGTGAAAAGGGAAAAGGGGAAACAGGGACTCTAAGCAAAGTGAGAGTCCGGGTGGCTGGTCTCTCGCCTCACAGACTGAATCCCAGGTTACCATCCTGGGACAGGAGAGACCAGGCTCCTCCCCACTGCAAAGGGCCAAACTTCCCGTGGCTCCACCCCATTCTCCCAGTGTGCAGGCTGATCAGAGGTTCTCCAGGGACCCCTATATATTTGGCGGTCTCAGTAGTACACACGTGTAATCCTAGCTACTCAGGAGGCTGAGGTAGGAAGATCACTGGAGCCCAGGAGTTGGAGGTTGCAGTGAGCCTTGATCGCACCATGCACTCCAGCTGGGGCAACAGAGAGGGACCCTGTCTCTAAAAATAGTAAATAAATAATAAAATCGATTTGAAAGATTGTATTTTTAGAAATGTGTGTTTCAGTGGTTTAGCAGCATAGAACTCTCTGTACTTTACCTTTCCTCTTTCTCTCCCACCAAAATTCCTTACACTAAAAGGGTAGGTTTCCATTTAAATAGATGTGAATTAATTAATTAAAAAATATTTTATTTAGCCTGCCATTAAGCCACAAATTACACTTTAATGAAATTTGTGTTCGGCAAAATGATAGTTTAATGGGGTTCCAACTTAAAACCAGTACAACATTGAGGATGATACAAAAGACTGTACTGTATTGCAAATTACTCAGGAACTGGAGAGGTAACAAGAGTGTGGGGGACAGAATTGAGGAGGAAGCAAAGAAATGAAAGAACTGAGGGAAAGACCAGAGAAAGGAATACTCCCCTGTTCTTTTCGATTTTGTAAACTGTTAATGACAACTGGATTCTAGAAGCTGGATTCAATGATCCAGGGCTCCAGCAAACTGACAGTCATGGCTGGTTTCCCTAGTTAACAGACCGTAAAACGATTTCTTCAAAGAGGTTTAACTAGAATGTTCCAATACTGGAGCTTCAATATAACTTGAGAGCTATGCCTAAGAAACTTAAAATCAGGCTGGGTGCAATGGCTCACACCTATAATTACAGTACTGTGGGGGGTTGAGGCGGGTGGATCACCTGAGGTCAGGAGTTCGAGACCAGCCTGGCCAATATGGCAAAACTCTGTCTCTACTAAAAATACACAGATTAGCTGGGTGTGGTGGCAGGTGCCTGTAATTCCAGTTACTCAGGAGGCTGAGGCAGGAAAATTGCTTGAACCCAGGAGACTGAGGTTGTGGTGAGCCGAGATTGCGCCATTGAACTCCAGCCTGGGTGACAAGAGTGAAACTCTGTCTCCAGAAAAAAAAAAAAAAAAATGAAACTTAAACTCATGTTTAAGACTTTTCTTAAACAAAAGGGCAATTAAATTTTTCTGATATTATCAGAATGAAATTATTCTAGTGGCACAAGATACTATTTTTCACAGATTACCCTGAGATAACTTACTTCCTACTTTTGTACCAGAAAATCTTAAAGCCGCAGCTGGATCAAAGGTATTTCAGTTGCAAACTTGAAAAGAAAAGGTGACTCTATAATTATTCCTTTTTAATCACTTCGCAAATTTTCTCTTTCCTCTTCTTTCTTTGTCTAGTTTTCTTCAAGTAGGAAATGATTTTGTTTGCTTCGCAAGGAGCTAACATAACTCAGCTATAAAGAAGTCAAGCCAGCCAGGCATAGTGGCTCATGCCTGTAATCCCAGCACTTTGGGAGGCTGAGGCGGGCGGATCACAAGGTCAAGAGATCAAGATCATCCTGGTCAACATGGTGAAACCCCATCTCTACTAAAAATGCAAAAATTACCTGGGCATGGTGGCACACACCTGTAGTCCCAGCTACTCAGGAGGCTGAGGCAGGAGAATCACTTGAACCCAGGAAGTGGAGGTTGCAGTGAGCCGAGATTGCGCCACTGCACTCCAGCCTGGTGACAGAATGAGACTCTGTCTCAAGAGAAAAAAAAGAAAAAGAATTCAAGACAGGCAATTGCCTGCTGCAAAAATATGTAATATTGATGATATGTGTTTAGTGTGTCATTTGGACATGGAAAATAACTTTGCTATAGATACTCAATATAACGAAGAGCATAGGCATAAAGATACTCACAGTTGCCAATAGTTCCAAGTGTATGCACACATTGTGCACATCTTCAGTATATTTTAGATCTTAGTTCAGTTAGCCTTACTTGGTAAAGCAAGAAAGCTTCATTTTATTGTATTTATTCTGTTGCCTTAAAATAAAGGGAGATAGTTGACAGTGTTTTAAAGGAATAAGAAGACGGGTTGCTTTTAGCAGAAGGGAATTTGTCATTCTCTCCATCACAGAAGGATTAATTGTATTGTTTTGGAGGCAGTGGGGATTAGGATGGGAATATTTGAATTTCATTATTAGAGTAGATGGGTGCAACATGGAAATATACTTGAAACTAGGGTCCTAAGCTGCCAAAATGTTTAGCAGTTAAGATGCAAAATATGTTTGCAATTCCCACAAAACAGGAAGACCAGACTGTCTTGAACAATGTTGCTCAGTGTCTTAAGAGTACTGCCAATTCTTATTATTGGGTTTGTTTTCTGAAAGCTGCTTCCTCTTTGGCTAGGAGCTGTTCACCTTTTCCTGAAGCACGTCTACCAACAGGGGCACACTAGGAAATGTCCAGTGAATTCCTGTAGTTTTATTTTCTTTAAATTCCACTGACAAAGAGCTTGACAGCGTGGTGAAATCACTAAAGATGTTGGTGCTTAGGCTATTCTCTACAAAATCATTGAAAAGTCTTCCAAACACACCAGCAGATTGCAGCATATCAGTTTATCAGTATGCATGTTATTAGCCCTCTAGGAATCTGTTGCTGAACTCTCCACAGGTTTATTTGGTAAAGCCAAGATTCTAATCTTTTTTTTTTTTTTCCTCAAATTCTTTTCCAAGTCTCAGGACAATCTTAATCTTAATCTTAAAATGCATAAGCATTAAACTCCTAAGATACGTGTTCCAACTATGATTTGAAAGTTGTTTTCTCCGAAAAAGCAGGGATCTAAACTTTTCCCACTACCTTTCAATATACATACAGACTCCAACTAAGCATTAAAAATACTAACTGTAATATAAATGACCCACAGATGCACATTTTATTCTGAAAACTTACCATTCTGTTCCACTTTCATAAAGTGACTCTTATCCTTTGTATATGGTCACCAGTCCCATCAGATCTTCCTTTACAACATTTGAGGAATCTGCCTCTCTCCATAACCTCCAACCTGACTTTATCTTAACCCTTTATTATTTTGTATCTGGGCTGTCTTCCAACCTAGTCTCTGCCACCAATATTTCATTCTCTAATCCAACCTAAACTGTCTTGTGCTCTATTTACAGTATTATCTTTATTCTAGAAATATCAAATTCTTTCTTCATATTGTTGCCTGTTGAAGATCCACTAATTCTCCCAACTAAAAGAATCAAGTCCTGGCCAGGTGCAGTGACCTGTAATCCCAGCATTTTGGGAGGCCAAGGTGGGAGCTTTGCTTGAAGCCTGGAGTTCAACACCAGCCTGGGTGATACAGCAAGACCCTGTCTTAAAAGAATAATAATAAAAGAATCAAGTCCAAGCTCCTGACCCTTGGAAGCACAGCCACCACATCTTGATGCTACACAGCCTTTCTCCACACTTCTTCTTTAAAAATTTTTTTTGTGTGTTTGTTTAATGTAAAAAATAAAATAAAAATGACGATTGGATGCCATGAAGGAGGTGGCAATGCCTTAGCCATACGCTTGTTGTCAGGCCCCAGGGCCTCAAATCCCTGTCAAGAGAAGTGTTAACTTTCCCTCCTTTCATACAACACTCCCGACTCTTCTAAGACAGTTAGCCTCTTATAATCCTGCCTCTTATTTTCTCACTTCTATCCTTTGTTCACACTCTTGCTAGTCATGCCATTCCCTGTTGTCATATTTTTAAGTCCAATGTATTAATTTTAATACCTAGATCCAGGTCCACCTTCTCCATGAAAGCCTTCTTCACTACCCCTCTATCCCACAGTGGTCTCACCCTCCTTTGAGCTCTTAACATTTATTCTTGAAACAACAAACCCAGTAGTCCCATAGATAGTTTTGGGTTTTTTTTTTTAATAAACATAGAGTTTGAAACTTACATTTGTTTTATCTGTATTCTTTCCTCAGAAAAGAAGCCCAGGCCTCTCAAAAAGTATCAAAGAACTGAAACTCACTAGATCATCACATCCAGAGGATGAGACAGCAGGCCTTGCATTGATCAGGATTGCGTCCTTAGGCCTCCGCAGCTCCTATTTTCCTACACATTGTTGCATTTCTTCCCTGCTGTATAAACCCCTGATTTTAGTTGGTCAGGGAGAAGGATTTGAGACTGAGCTAGCATCTCCTCAGCTACAGCACCTGGTTAAAACCTTCTTCCTTGGCAATACTTGTCTCAGTGATTGGCTTTCTGTGTGGTAAGCAGCAGGACCGAGACCAAAGCTCTGGTGTTTCGGTAACATTCTCACTTCTATTCATTCAGCAGCTTAGCATTTAATCACTCTTTCCTATCTCCAAACCGTTTCATTTTAGAAATGTTTACATCTTATTATCTCTATTATACATCATGATCTCTTCCATTCATTGAACAAATATACACTGGACTTACGAGTACCAGGTACAACAGTAGGTATAGGAGAAAGTCCCTGTTTTCTCATTAAACTGCAGTTTGCGAAGCAGAGTGTTTGTTGTTGTTTGAAACGGAGTTGCGCTCTGTCACCCAGGCTGGAGTGCAGGGGTATGATTTCAGCTCACTGCAATCTCTGCCTCCTGGGTTCAAGTGCTTCTCCTGCTTCAGCCTCCCGAGTAGCTGAAACTACAGGCACATGCTCCCACGCTCAGCTAATTTTTGTATTTCTAGTAGGGACAGAGTTTTGCCATGTTGGCCAGGCTGGTCTCCAACTTCTGACCTCAGGTGATCCACCCACCTTAGCATTCCAAAGTGCTGGGATTATAGGCATGAGCCACCGCACCCAGTCTCAAAGCAGTGCATTTTTATGCATAACAAGTAGGTTTCAGCCCTGACTACTTTACTTGAGACCCCTGCTTCATAACCCAATGGAGAAGTCTCTAGAACATTAAAGAATATTAAAAGACTAGGAAGACGAGCTTTTATTAACTTTTTCTGGGCTTTTAACACTACAGAGTTACCAGCTATTACATGAGTTCAGTTAGACTTCCTACTTGCTGATTTTTTTTTTGGGTAAAAGTCACATTTTAACATTACCATAAGAGTCAGACTCTATAAAGTCGTGTGATATGGATTTCTGTGAAGGGGCATAAACAGGGCTACGTCCTAGTCTCCTTCTTTTTAACTGAAATCTTAGTGATATGAAACTGTGGACGATTGGGAAAAAAAAGTCTATCTGTGTGAGGATGAGAAATCTGCTATCAGGTGATGAGATATATTCAATTTGAGCTTTTTTGATCTTCTTGAGGGATATTTTTATTTCTCTTCTCTTGAGACAGAGTCTTGCCGTGTCACCCAGGGCTGGAGTGCCGTTGCACGATCTCAGCTCCCTGCAGCATCGAACTCCGGGGTTCAAGCAATCCTCCTTCCTCAGCTTCCCTAGTAGATGGGACTATGGGCATGCCCCAGTACACCTGGCTAATTTTTTTCATTTTTAGTAGAGATGAGGTCTCACTATGTTATGCAGGCTAGTCTCAAACTCCTGAGCTCAAACAATCCTCCCACCTGAGCCTCCAAAGTGCTGGAATTACAGGCATAGCCACTGCACCCAACCTCATTTTGTTTCTTCAATATCCCTATCAGGGCACAAGGAGGGATATATTTGTGTTATGAAAAGTCTATTCACATGTTTATGTGGATTTTATAAATTAATATTCTATAATTAAAGTTGTACATTTAAGACTCTGCTTTTTCTTAGGGCTGTAAATTCAGTTTACAAATATTATTGCTCTATTAGTAAGTGTAGCAAATTTCAGTATTCACTTCCAAGGAATCGCTCAATCATGTTTGGTCTAATTTATAATCCTAGTTTATTAAACATTTCTAAACACTTTAAACTGTACTTGGAAGTTTAAAACATCCAGTTCCTTAGAGGGTCATTGGGGGTGCCCTAGACCACCTCCATGTTCAGAGATTCACTAAAACAATTTACATAATTCAGCATATATAATCGTTCTACTCATAACAACATTGCAAGGATACATAGCGGATGATAAGGGAAAGCTATTGGGAGAGCCTGGAGGAGTCCCTGGGCAAGCTTCCTCAAGCTCTCTCCTTCCCATGAAGGATCACACAGAGCACACATTTCTTCCAGCAATGAAAATGCAACACGTGCGCAATACTTTGGCCCAGGGAACCCCACTAGAGACTTAGGGAAGGTTTTTATGAGGCCTGGTCACATAGATACAGTCTGAAACCAAAACTGCAGAGTCTCAGAAGGAAAGGTGGTGTGTAACCCACCTTCATCAGTTAACTGATAACTGGGAACACTCTGAACCAACTTCCAGATGCTCCCTAAGAATCGAGCTCAAAAGCAGGTCTTTCTCAGGAGAGCAGCCTCAAACAGATCTGCTTGTTAACTTTTTTCTGCATACCAAGGTACTCCCATTTTCTAACTTAAAAACCGAAACTTTCCAAGTGCTCAAGCAACCCAGACAAAGAAAATAAATTGAAATCATAAACATGGCCAACCTTAGTTCTTTTAAGTATCCCACTATTTTCTCCAAATTTGTATTATTACAACTTTAAGTCAAAAGCCTAAATTACTTATTTACTTATAACTTTTGAAATTAGACTGACAAAATTGGTCTTAACCAATTAACCTGGGAGGTGGAGGTTGCAGTGAGGCGAGATCACGCCACACACTCCAGCCTGGGTGATGGAGCAGGACTCTGTCTCAAAAACAAAACAGTTCATACCTTGGTGAGGTGCAGTGGCGTAAGCCCGTAATCCCAGCACTTTGGGAGGCGGAGGCAGTCGAATTACTTGAGGTCAGGAGTTTGAGACAAGCCTGGCCAACATGGCAAAACCCTTGTCTCTACTAAAAATACAAAAATTAGCCAAGTGTGGTGGCGCACACCTGCAATTCCAGCTACTCAGGAGACTGAGGCACGAGAATCGCCTCAACCTGGGAGGCAGAGGTTGCAGTGAGCAGAAATCACACCACTGCACTCCAGTCCGGGTGACGGAGCGAGACTCCATCTTAAAAGAAAAAAAACAATATAAATAAAAACAAAGTTCAAGCCGGGCACAGTGGCTCACGCCTGTAATCCCAACACTTTGAGAGTACAAAAAATAATTACCCTATTTTTCCCAAGTACAAAAAATAATTACCCTATACTATAGAAGATAAAAGATGTACAAGATATACATAAAAAGAACTTTGGAAATTTAGAGAACTCTTTACTTTCCAATGACCAAGTTACTTTGGGGAATCGAGCAGTTCTCTTAACTTGAAGATACAGTGAAACTAGGATTGCACTAAAGGGAAAAATGGGATAAGCAATAAATATAACTAGATATGTGAGCCAGCCAGAGGGGAAAGTCTTTCTCAATCCTCTCTTCCAGATAAAATCAAGCTTGGCCATTTTTCTCTTATCTAATTACAAGTCAAAAGCGTTTTGAGAGATTTATGGGAATTAAAGCTTTTGGTGCACGGCTAGTTCATTCTTAAATTACCCATGCTTATATAGTGTAGGAGAAGGTGTAAGCCTATGTCCCAATGTACACATATTGCCCCCAAATAATTATTAGTAGTGGCCTCTTCCTCTCTCAAAATTAAGTATGACGCCCTAGTTTTGGGTAAAAACCAAAAGTAATTTTTTGCTGGACTCCAGCGCCCTCTTGTGATTAAAATTTCACATTCTGATATTGCTTATTCTGAGACGAGAAACTACCAAAAAAAATACGAACATCTCAAAGTTGATCATCTAATAACTTTCCCCAAAAGATCTCAGCTTTGAATTTCATGTCGTCGCACTTTAACACCGAGTACCCCTGCATGGTTGCTGCCCTCTTCAGATTTCAGAGCCATCTCCCGCATGCATCAGTAGTTGTAGCTCCCCGCACTGTCACTCTCTGTAACACTACTTCTGTCCTAATTCTTGGTGAATTCAGTGTATCCGATAACAATCTCCCCAGCACTCAGGCCTCTGACTGCCTCCAACTTCTCTCCTCCGGTGATCTTGTTCTCCACCCTGCCTTAGCTATGTACTTGCAGGTCGTGCTATAGATTTTGTAAGCATAGCCTGTCTCTCCACCTAAACCCCTCTAGTAACCCAACTGCGGCAAACCTTTGACCTTCCTCCGCCAGGGCCTACGATCCACTAATTATGCCAGTATTTCACTGTGCCTCGCCCCTCACTGCTTTCTTTAGTCACCATACCGGCCGAAACTCCATGATCATTATAATTACATCCTTGTCCTCAGTTCCTCTGCTTCTCTTTTGATTTGGCACAAAGATCTCCAATGACTTATGAGCTGTGCTACTGGATTGGCTGGCTGGTTAGAGACTTGAAAAAAATAACTGAGAAGTTGGTGCTTAGGTGGACTATGCATGGACCTTTTGGAATGGACCCAGAGGGTGGGAATATTTGTGTGCTGCATGTATGTCCAGTAGATGGTATCACGATGGCGGAGGTTCTCAAAAATCAGATAATCATGATAATCTATTTTGTGAATGTCGGTAAGCTTCTTTCTCCAGGTATCCCAGTGCTTGTTTAGTGGCTACGTGTGCAAACTGTGCCAGCACGGAAGGAAGTTACGTGTGAGCTAGTAACATAGTTTTCCCTCACCAAGGCTGCTCCGACTATACCTACTGCTGAATGT